CTACAAGAATGAAGAGAAAGAATATGTTTATCAGAAAGGATAATACCGGTTTTGACCGGACTCTTCCCAAACTACAAAAAACAAAAGGAAAAAGCATGTTTAAAGGGTAATTCTATGGCTGACCCCGAACCAATAAGGTAGAGCAATTTCAGACTCTTATTAATTTTTTACATATCCCAACAAGCATCCTATTTTCTGACCCTGGCCACTGTCAGATGCATCAAAGGGAATGAATAAAAAGGGGCAATTGTGAACGATCCCATCCCTTGTCATTTACCCCAGCTTTTAGAGATTGAAGGTTTTAGCGACACACAGAGCACGGGGCTGTGTAAGAGAAATGTCTCTTCTCTACAATGGCTGGAGCACAGTATGTTTCTGTTAAAATTCTAACTCCATCTGAGAGTTTCACGACACCACTGCTCCAGAGTTCTCCTTTATCACTTCATCTGATGGAGATAAGAGACTCATGCCGCTCTTTAGTGACAATGGGGTGGGGGGTGGGGTGGGGGAAATGTGTGTTTATACAGGTTAAACCTCTCTAGTCCAGCACCCTCGGGATCTGAACGGCGCTGAAGCAGAGAATTTTCCAAACAGAAGGTTAATATTGTTTAGTAGCTTTACCAACATTTTCAATGCTTACTGGGCTCTTAGAAAACATTTAGAAGTAAATTAGAGCTAAACCATGGCACAGAACACTGAGAGCCAGGACTGGTAGCTAGAGAAACTTGGCCACACCCCTGATAAGCAGATGTCTGGCTAATCCTGCCAGACCTTGGATGTTGCCAGACCAGAGAGGTTCAACCTGTAACAGCGGTCAATGTCTGGACCTACCAATGCAAAGTTTTCATGCTCCATGTCCCTGGGAATGAGTAACATTTTCGTAGAAGTGGCTCTACTCCGCAGAAATCAGAACTGTTTTGTCAAGAGACAGAAGGGAAACTTTTAAAACCCAGATGGCAGCCTACCAGCTCTACAGCCATTCTTCTGAGTGAAAAGCCATCAGAAACTGTGCACACTAAACACCTAGAGCTAATGAATTGGTATGAATTATTTCTCTATGTCAATGGTTCATCTTTTAAGGTAGCCCTGATATGGCTGTTTCTTTGGAATCGATACAAAGTTTCTTAAGGTGACATCCCAATGTCTAAATGTTACCAACTCTACACATACAGGAAATAGGATTACGTGGTGGAATTCTATCCAAATTCTAATTTCAATCAAAAGACAACTGCTTCTTCCTATGGAATATCTGCTCAGGAAGGTAACGAAGGAGGTTTGAAAGTTGTACCACAGG